AAATATTTACTATTTGGACTAAAATAATTGCATCCTCAATTCTTAGAAACAGAAGATAATCTGTGGGGCATCTGACTTTGAAGTCACTGCTAAAAAAGAGATCTATCTTCTGCATGATGGTCTTAGCCCTTTGCCTAAAGATACTCTATCATCTCCGTGGAGATACGTTGGTGTTGAAGACTATTAGTACAAGGCCCTTTCTGGTTATAAGGGTATCACATTGCTGAAAGACTAGCCCATCTTGATTTAGAGCGATGGAACTGTTGACATCAATTACGGAGGGGAAAAGCTAGTTAGTATCAGTGCTGGTATAGATGGTTCTTTGTGGGCTTTAAAGCAAGAGGAAAATGTAGTAAACTATCAACTCCTCAAATGGCAAACCTCTGCATAAAAGTGGTATATAGTTTCAGGCGCTAGAGGAATCAATCTCTCAGCATACAATGAACTCTCAGTAGCAATAGTTGATGAGAAAGGTCTACTTAGTCTTTCATCTCAGGCAGGACATCAAGATGAGGCATAATATACTAGTGTTGTGGGTCCTCCATATAATCCAGGTACAGGTACTCCATATACTCCAGGTATAGGTACTCCAGGTACTCCAGGTGCTCCTCTATTACCAATTGATAAAACTATTACAGGTGATCCAAATGCTCCAGCTATTGTTTTAGAAAACCCCTTACCAATTGCTCCACCACAACTTCCAGTGATTATTGGTCAGTCACCAGACTCATTCGTTACTTTCCAAACATTTAAGACATTTACTGATGAAGTAAACCTATCCTTTAATAAGAACATTAAGAGTCTTACTCAAGTCTTTACTTCTAAATCCAATGTAAAAACACGTGATGAAGCTATGACTGCCATACTTAATTTGTGGAACATCTTTGGCTTCATCAAAACAACATCTGGTTAAATGATAGGATTCTATTACGAAGATCCATAATTATCGACTTCTATTGATAACTAATTAACAAATACAAGAACTATGATTTATGGAATCACAAACAATCATTTCTCCAAAAAAGAATTTGATGATGTTTTCTAACCATAGTTTGGACCATTCCCTAGCCAAAGATATATGCAAATCATCAAAACTCCTAGAGCAAGAATAACATTTTACCCATAATGCTTTAATACTGCTCCGTCGCCTAATGTAGCTGAGTGCTACAGTGATTCTAATTTCGAATAACCAGCATATTGCTTTTGGATTCAATCAAAACTCTAACATGATTTTGGTACATTTGATTGCGAACAAATAGAGTATTATCATGGCAAATCACAATGAGAGCTTCATGAATCTGATCTCTTCTCAATTAAGGATTTCTATTAATATGACTTCGAATGTCTATTGATTGATAGAAAATTAATCAAGATGATCATTTAATTGATTTTAATTCATAATTTCCTTAAATTCAAACTTATTCATCTACATGGGGTTTTGGGGTTTTGGGGTTTTGGGG